TGCGTTTTCGTACCCGTTATTTGTTTTATTTGTTTTTTTTTTACCCGAATTCGTATCGACTCGGTCCATACCTACTTATATCTATAGTACCTGCTTATAGGTATAATATATCCCTCTGTGTATATAATATTATGATTATTTTGCGTTCTCGTTTATTACATGTGGCGCCCACGCGTCTCGAAATAATACGATCGGCTCGCGTTGTCGGCGCGATAATAAATCTGAACAGCAATAATACGTTTCAACATCCAGAGCGGTTATATTATTATTATTATTATTGTAATATTCGTAATATGTTAGATCTATGCATAATATTATTATTATTATTATCATCACACTTTATACACTCGCCGGACTGATCGGCGTTTTTCCCATGGCCGTCGCCGCCGCGTTCCATACCTATCGATATATATATATTAATATTTATTTATTATATTTTAATATTTAGACGAGCTTCTAGAGCTAACCGTTTATATATGTACCTACATCACGTATACTAATATTATATTATAAAATATGCAAGAATTTGGCAAGTTAATGATTTTTTTTAACCCATTGAAGTTAATATGCACCAATAACAAAAAGTTAAAAGTTCATTTAACGGCTACCATTGAATTGGCTCCCAATGTTGGGTAAATATGAATTTGACCCTTGAATTAACTCCTGAAAAATGTATATTTGAATTGGCTCCCTAAACTGTAAAATATTATTATTTAACCAGAGGTTCTCATATTACACAAGTTTTCTTTTTACGAAGTCAACCTGACAGTAGTTGGCAGTTTGAACTCAAATATAGTATATCGCTGGATATCCCTATACTATTATACAGGGTGATCCATTTAAGTGGGTACACTAATTATCTCGAAAAGTATTAACTTTTTTTTATTTTTTATTTTTTTAAACTGTTAGATTTATGCTTTTCTAAAACTCTATACTATTTTAATTTTTTTCACCCTTATATTTATTGGTGAAACCACTATCAACTTTTGATTTTCAAATGGTAACATATAATAAAAAGATCATGAATTAATAAAACCATTTTTTTATGAATTTACGCGTTAACATTTTTATTATTTGTTAATTGGTTTGCGAGATACAGCTCCTCAAAGTATTGGTGGTTGAAAGTCGGTACCGCTGGAAAATTTTCATTTGTAAAGCCCAGAAGCTATAACTGATAAATTCGATACCGTTCGACCTAACTACCTAAGGTACCTAACATTAAACATATTGCTAATTGTTGTACTTTGAACCTGATTAATTGAATGTACATTACACCTATATGCTAATTTGACCAATGCTACGTTTTGTTGACATTGGCTGTCACACCAGATCCCCTCCATATTACCATAGAACAATAATAATCTTATTACTATTACCGATATTTGGCGATACCTTTATCATTATCTATGACCACGGTCTTATAAGATAATAGAATTGATTAAAATATTATATCATATTAACTTAGATCATATACAAGGTTATATATGGTTATATAGGTTTGTATATGATCTAAGCCATAGACCTATAAACTAATGGACAGCGCTTAGAGAGAGAGGTCAGTGGTACGATATACAGTATTAGTTTCGTACGTCTATGATTTCCCCCATTATGTTTTTTCTCTCTTTCTCTTATATGATTGTCCACCAAGATTCCCCCAATATGTTCTTTCTCACTCACTCTATATTGGCGCCACTCATTGATGGCTGGGTGGTGAGTGAGGTGTAGTCCATTAGTTTATAGGTCTATGATCTAAGCATATTAATTAATTAATGATAATGGTACAGAAAAATCAATCGGTTGTAATAAACTGAATACTGATAATGAACTTTAAAACTTGTAAAGTAAAATACTAAACCATGTGGCCATGCAGCATAGCACTATTACTTAAATAGTTTAATATTAAATGTATAATGTAATTATTAATTGAACTATACATATTATGTATAGTTAGTTTATGTTGTAAACCGTTATAAGTAGACAGACAGTTTAAATTTCTTTAATAGCATAATATACCTAACAAAATAGGTAGTTGTTGAATCATTAAGTTTGTCAAAAATATTCCATTGAACTTAAAATTACATTATACCTAAGTCGTAATTTGGGATATATTTATGTATTTTATTTGATATTTCAATCAAAAATATATGTATTTAAGTTTATATTATGAAGTGTGATGTAAACTATATAATACATGAATACCAACCACTTGGAAAGCACAACATTTGTACCTACATTAAGTTTATTGGTAAGTTTTCTTAAAATGTATACGTAGAAAAATTGTTATGATTAATACATTAATTTGTACATACAAGTATACAACATACATTATTATACAGTATTATGACGTCTTAACAGTTTTTATTTAAATTTTATTTTCAGTTAAATCAGTTTTGTTCATTCAGTTACACCACCAATAAATGTTATTCAAAGTTTGATAACACAAAATTTGTTATAGGTACTCTTAAAATTATTGGCCGACACCAATACACCATAGCACAAACCTAAATACAAATTCATATATTATTCATTTACTTATTACCATCTACTTGGACACAACAAGATGGTTGCCTATCTACATCATATACATACTTAAAAATATAATGTTCTCTGTTCAGAAGTACTTATAAGTTGCATATATTCAAATTTTACATTCTGGCATAGTAATTATTGTTAAGAACTAAGTTGATCTGTATTTACTACAAATATACTTGGCCAAATGATTTGGAGATAGATATTGAATGCACATAATTTTCTATCTTCCATTACATTTTCCAAACGAGAACAATGACAAATGAAAATTTTGTTTCCCATTTACTATTTTAATAGTTAGGAGAGACTACAAAATGAATTAAGTATGTAAACATATTATTTTACCGTTAAATAATTTGGTTATATTTATCCTTTTTTAATTTATTAGATAGTAAATACTCAACTACTCAAGTTAATTTCAAAGAAGATTAAAAATCAAGTCTGACAATCTGCATTCCAGAAATAACTTAATCCCAATAATATAGTAAACTAAAAATATGTTAAATGAAAATAGTACATGCTAATGTTTTTTTTTTTTTTTTTTTTAGTTTTAACAAATATTATACAATTAAGTTAATTTAGCTAACAACATCAATCAATCATTGATACTTAAATGGGTAGTAAAATGTATGTTTCTAGAAAATTAAAAAAAAAATTATAAATTACTCACCTTCATTATTATACATGGTATTATTAAATATTTTATTTAAATAACTACTTTGTTATAATATTAGGTAGGTATGTCTTAATCCTAATATTTATGTATCATAAAAATATTTTTATTTAAAAGTATATTGTTTTAGTGTTTTGCAACTGAATAGTTCTTCTGTTCGATTGGTGTTGTTAGCTATTTATTACCACCACGTTAAACTATTATTAGTCCCACTTTTAAATTTTACTGTATTTTTTTAAGTTAGGGGTTAAGTTGAGTTTGTTTCAATTTTTTTGAATACATGTTATGATCTTAACTCATATTTTGCATTACTGCATAACGAATATTTTGATCTAACTGTATCATTTAATTTGGAATAGATTTATCATAGTCCTGGGCTTTTAAATATTATGGTAACATTTTTGAAGGGTGTTTATCTAGCAGGTGCTCTATCAAATTTTATAAATGTGCATTTCTTTCATAGTAGTAATTGTAAAGTCGATCAAGTGCGCTTCTACTCCTTTATTATTTACCTATTAATTATTATAGTTATTACTTATTACATACTTCTCAATTTAAGCCAAAAACTATAATGTATTACTATTATGATAATGTAGGTACGCCTGATTTTGATAATAATAGAAATATAATTTTCATATAGTAGCACTAACCAATGGAGGTAAACTGTGTATTTTTGAATGAATTCTTATTTGATTTGATAATCCTAAATAAAAAAATAACTTAATAATTAATGGTGAAATATATTTTAAACCTAATAGCCAATAGGTATGTACAATGTACATATTATTATAGGTACCTAAATCTTGTAGTAGATCACTTCTAGTAAATTGGTAGATCACCTGCTATACAAATGCCTTTTATAGTGGTTCATAATAATAGAAATATAAAATGGGGTGATTTCAGTCACGACATATTGAAATAGCTATGTTGTTTTTTACATATTACCTTATTGTTTGTAACAATATTCATAATTATTGTATTGTTAAAAAAAACATAATATTATATAAATTTAAATTTGAAATATTCAACTATTCATAGTCTTTCACTATTAAATTATTTTAAATTATTTAAGTAGTTCACAATATTATAAATATAAAATGGGGTAATATGTGGAATTTCCAATTTTGAATTAAGTTGTTTTTAATTAAAGAATATAGGTAATTGAAAAAAAGTTGTACAATAAGTATGCATTTAAAATTACAATGTGCTAGATGTGGACTTATAGGTTAGGCACCATATATTATATATATTTAAAATTATGATTATTAACTTGCTACAATTAATTCAAAACTAACGTGAAATAGTTTTGAATGGTAATTGAAAAAAAAAAAATCACCTATTAGAAGGTAAATCATAAAAACAAGACCTACAAGTTAAAGTAAAATTTTAAATTAATATTGTATTGAAAAAATATATTCAATAAAAAATTGTTAAATTGTGAAAATAACATTTTAAATATGGCTCTAATCAACCCATTTTATATAGAATTAGTTACATTTTTAAACATTTGTCAGTTGTATCATAGGGGTGTGCTGAATATGCTTTAATTTAAATAAATAATAAGGTATATAAAACAATTTCTTAGGTAGCTAATTGTATGCGCCTCTGAAGAGATTTTACAAATGGGTAATGAGCCTAGTCAATTTATCATAAACCATCTGAAATTAATGTCAGCATATACCTGTATTATATTGTGTGATTGGGGGGGTGTGTGCTGTACCTTCTCGTGGTCCCCCCTGTCTAGCAGTGTTGTTAATACCTGTAAATCTGAATGCCTACGCCCTAAGATATCACAATTATGACAACACGAAGCCAAAAAGCACAAACCAGGCGGCCGAACGTCGAAAGACCTCCCGGCCTTATTTGTGAAAATAGCCCTTCTCAGGGCTACCCAACTGACGATCGTGGAACACACGTGGTAAAACGGATAATCAAACTCAACAAAAAAATGTACAAAAAATCCAAAAAACACAAAAAAATAAATGACAATCAGCCACGCTGTGATACTGCAGGTACTAGAAAGGTAGAGAACAATTTCAAGATAGCTCAGATTAACGTGGAAGGCTTGACTCGAGCCAAGGCTGACATTTTGGGGAAAAGATTTGTCGACATGGACGTATTGGTGTTACAAGAAACCCACATACCTGATGGTGAAACAAACCGCCTAAAAATAAATGGTTTCAATCTGATGCATCACATTGGCCATAATAAACACGGTTTAGCAACATACGTAAGCCAAAACAAATCGTTCCTAGACATTGAACAAGTTCCCGGTAACGAACATACGGTTGGTATCCGCATCGGTAACCTAACCATCTTCAACGTCTACAAACCCCCTCCCAGCAAGTGGGCTGCTGCCGTTTTGCCAGTCAGTGAACATCCTGTAATATACATCGGAGATTTTAACTCCCAAAATACTGAGTGGGGATACTCCACCAACAATGAAGCAGGTGAAAAACTTTCGGACTGGGCAGCGATTAACCACCTTAAACTGATCTACGATGCCAAACAAGGAGGCACTTTTAAATCTGGTAGATGGGGCACGACGACGTCGCCGGATCTCTGTTTCGTGTCCGAGGACTCTAATGGTCTACCTCTAACTGTAAACAGGGAAATCAAAAACTCTTTCCCAAGAAGCCAACACTTACCAACCACCGTGACCATCGGTCTTATAATCCCAACCATAGACAAACCTTTTATGCCTCGATGGAACCTGCGCAAAGCAGCATGGCCAGAATTTTCAAAATACGTTGATGATAACATCAACCGTATTGACCCCATACCGGACAACTATGGCAGATTCATCAAACTAATAAAGACAGCTGCGAAGAAATCGATACCTAGAGGCCATAGATATAACTATACCCCCTGCTGGACTAAAGAATGCGAAGAATTACTAAAAGAATACGAAAGGTATGGAAATGAAATAAGTGCCGACAAACTCATCGCCCTACTTGACGAGGAGCGAAGGAACAGATGGACACAGGCTATGAATGAGATGGATTTCACCCACTCGAGTAGGGAAAGCTGGTCTCTACTAAGGAAACTGGGGGCAGCTCAAACCTCATGGAAAGCTAGCAAAGTCTCACCAAACTCCATCTCAACCATTCTTCATAAGACCGCTAATATAAAACCTAAAAAACCCGATAAGATAAAGGTGAAAGCCGATTACAAGGAAGAGTTTCAAATTATGCGCAGAGAAATCCGAAAACATGAAGGACTTTGGAGTGGAGGAAGTGGAGGCTCCCCTAAGACTTCTAAAAAACGGTAAAGCTGCAGGCGAAGATGGTATACTTCCGGAATTCCTCAAACACATGGGCATTAAAGGGAAATTTTGGCTAGCAAGACTTTTTTCAACAGTAAAAAATAACAATACTTTACCAAAACAATGGCGGGAAGCTAAAGTAGTTGCAATATTAAAACCTGGTAAGCCCGATGATGACCCAAAAAGCTACAGACCGATCTCACTGTTATCCGTAGTCTACAAGTTGTTTGAAAGAGTACTCCTAGTAAGAATCCATACGAAAATCGAAGAACACCTGCCAGTAGAACAGGCGGGATTCAGACAGGGAAGAAGCTGCAGTGAACAAGTACTATCACTGACGACGTTTATAGAAAACGGGTTTCAAAAGAAACTAAAAACGGGAGCTGTTTTCCTAGACCTGTCTTGCGCCTACGATACGGTGTGGAAACGTGGTTTACTTTTGAAGTTAGCCAAAATTCTAAGATGTAAAACATCATTGCGACTAATTGACAATATATTGTCAGACAGAAAATTTAGAGTGCACCTAAATGGAAAGGTAAGCAAATACAAATTCCTCCAAAATGGTCTTCCTCAGGGCTCAGTACTCTCCCCCGTTCTGTTTAATGCCTACACAGCGGATATCACAAATACCTCGTCACGCAAATTCATATACGCGGATGACGTGGGGTTAGCAGCTCAAGCTGAATCATTTGAGAAGGTTGAGGATATCTTAAACGAAGACCTAGTAAAAGTACAGAAGTACTTCAAATCCTGGTTCCTCACTCTTAACCCCAATAAAACCACATCCATAGCGTTCCACTTGAGCAACAGAGATGCTAACAGAAAACTCAACTTGACAGTTCAGGGAACCAAACTAATGAATGACGATGCTTCAAAATATCTTGGGATCAAACTGGACAGAACGTTAACCTACAACCAACACCTCGAAGATGTAAAAAATAAACTTAAAACAAGGAATAATATTATTAGTAAACTTGCCGGAACAAGCTGGGGCTGCCGAGCAAATGTACTACGCATATCGGCCCTAGCCTTGGTATACAGTGTCGCGGAATACTGCGCCCCCGTTTGGGAGAGAAGTGTACATACAAAAAAGGTTGACACCCAGTTGAATAATACTATGCGAATCATCACAGGCTGTGTCCGGGCTACCAACCTACAGTGGCTTCCAGTCCTTTCGAACGTAGCTCCCCCGGAGATCCGAAGGCATTTCTCAACTGTCAAACTGTTACAGAAAATCAATAAATTAGTGAATCTCCCTGTATATACCGACATAAATTGCGCACCATCTAAAAGATTAAGATCAAGAAACCCAATCTGGTCAAAAGAAAATAGTTCTGATAGCATGGAGGATATGTGGAAACAACACTGGGAAAAAGGTAATGCAAAAAATAGACATCTGATAAGCGACCCAAACCAAAGAGTCCCAGGATTTGACTACCCGAGAGCTTTATGGACCAATCTAAACAGGATACGAACGGAGCAGGGTAATTGTAACTACCTCCTACATAAATGGAAGTTAAAAAACTCTCCCTTATGCGACTGCGGGCAAATACAATCCATCAAACACATTGTGGAGGAATGTCCCCAAACTAGATACAAGGGAGGAATAGAGGGACTTCACATGGGCGATGACGAAGCAATAGATTGGCTGTCTAAGACCAATGTTCGCCTTTAAATATATTATGAGCGCTTATTATTATTATCTTTGTTATTGTTAAAATTATTTATTAGTTTATTGTAAATCTACCTACTCTAGTCCTCGTTACTTTGATAATTTAATGTTTATTTAGTTTTATTTTATGTTTATTTAATTTTGTTTTTCACCAATAAACCTACGCCATATGCAAGAAAAAAAATTGTGTGATTAAAAAAAAATTGTATCATTTACTATGTAATTTTTTATTAGTCGCTTACTATGTTTTAAAGCTATTAAGTATATTTGTACATGTTCGTACATATTCGTTTAAACCACAAAATCAATTTAAAAATGATTGTCTTCAAATTTTGTTCTGGACAGTATTATAAGACATCAAACTCAATAATTTATTTTTATAAGATATTGGTGTTTATTTGTTTAGTATTTATATGTGTGTATACTGTATTGTAAACTTTAAAACTGTACCATACCTATTGACTTTTATTATACTATATTTTTTTGTAATTGATTTTTATTTGACAATTTAAAAAATAGGTATAGATTTTCAAATACAACCAATATTTTGGTTATTATAACCAATTTAACTGAAAAAATAGGTAACAGTAAGTTAATTAAGGATCAAGGTTAGGTTAGGTTAGGCAAAAAAAATTTCGGTTTTCACACGAATAGCCCCACCTAGAGATCCTATTCTTACATAAGCTTACAAGATGGTGCTCCGGCCCATAACTGCCGGCAGGTTCAGGACTATTTAAACAACATTTACGGAGGTAATTATCATTATCATCATATTTTGTTTGATTGCTACTTATAAAAATTTTAATATTATACATATAATATTTAAAGTTACACAATTTTCTTCTCATTTATATTCATATAGGTATTTATTTACATTAACCCAATATGTTATGGATACAATTTATACAAATAAGTATTACATTTAATTTAAATTGTATTTTTAAGATAACTGGATGGGTACCCGGAGTCCAGAAAATTCAATGGCCAGCACGTATATATATATAGGCAAATATGGAATAGTTTTTCGAGAAATAATAATATACCTACATATATTATGAACATTTCAAACAATCATACCCAAATAATCGTATAACCGTTATTATTTATTATTATTTTTTTTTTTTTGTAAAGCAGATATATTGACCTAGATTAATTTATTATATAGGTACAGACCTTTTAAAAAACAGTCAGTTATAAATATAGATTTCAATAGTTAAATTCAACAACCGATGACAATAGATACTCAAATTTCCCCTTAAACTTGAGTAAAACACTCTTAATAGTAAACGTTTAACTTTCATATATATATTTATTTAGGGTACGGGATGAGCGAACCTTGTGGCCACATTGACTTTTACCCAAACAACGGTAAGGAACAGCCTGGCTGTGATCTAACGGAAACTACATTACCTTTCACTCTCATCAAAGAGGGAATTGAAGAAGCAAGTCATGTTTTAGTTGCTTGTAATCACGTAAGAGCCATAAAACTGTTCATCGAGTCTATAAACTCAAAATGTTCATACGTCGCACACAAATGCAACTCGTATCAAAACTTCTTACAGGTAATTAAAAAAAATTGTGTACTTAATATATACATTTTAGAACGAAAATTCTTAGGTATTTAATTTTTACAAACACAAATTTGAGTGTTTATTAAATTATACATAAATAAGTGCACAATAAACAAAGTCTGGAAGTCTTATAAGATAAATATAAAAAAATGTTTTGTTACGTCATGATCTGAAGTGTAATTCGGTATTTGCATATTTCTTATAGATCTTGTGCATAATATTTTAAATTACGAAATGTACTCAATATTATTTGGAATTCCCCTGTAATGTTTACATATTATTATAATAAGTACATATTACGTTAAAATATCCTCGCTCTATTGTTATTGCACAATAATCTATACAATTATTTATCGGTTGGAGAACTAAGAAAAATGTGTTTTAACTACCTATGAGAAATAATAAATTATGAATACAACCAACTTAAGTCTGCATCGAATTAACAATTCATCATGACGTGTATTCGTGTTACTACTAGAATTTAATTTATATTATGTTTAAGGGTAAATGTTTCTCGTGCAAGGAGAATGATACAGGATGTGCCATAATTTTCTTAAATACAGTAAGACCAAACCATGCACCGGGTTCCAAGTATTTCATAACTACTGGGAAAGATACGCCATATTGTAGTAAGTATACCCACAAAGAGAATATTTGATTTTTATCGAACTTGAAATTTATATGAAATTTCCATAACTATAATTAATTAAGATGATAATATTACTGCATATTATACAACTTAATGTTGAAACGACGTACGCTGTGGCAGCCCGGCCCTTCAAATTTTGGCATTAGGTGTTAAACCAATACCATGCAAATTTTAATATTATCCAGGCAAATTCTTACCAAATATTGGGGCCAACATTTTCCAACATTTCGAAATGGCCGGGCTGTCGCATCGTACTTAATTAAATGGCTCCAACGAGATAACAAAAACATGTTGTCCTGGATCAGTTTTTCGATTTGGTCGAACCAACAACTTTGACCCCCCTAAAACTATCTTCGGTACCTTCCTGCTGATCGGTATTATGTTAATATGTTATACTATTCTAAAATAACATGTATCGTTAAAATACAATCATGCGTATACCCACTAAATATAAAAGTTTTATAGTTAGAGCCTAAAAAATTAATTGATAGTTATTAATTATTATAAATTAATGTTTACTTGAATAATATTAAATTATTTAGTTATTTCTAAATTTGTAATAGTCAGTTAAAACGATTGATTAATAAAAATGTTTTCCTTACCTAAAATAATACATTTTTGTTACAATTTATACGATTACATATTTGAAAACCATCATTATCAGAGTATAGCCTCCTATCGATACATTTTTTATTGTTTACGGCTCTTATATAATATTAACCATTATAAAATACGCCAATTTATTATGAATATTAAGTTTTATTATCAATAATTAATTATTATGTACGCTAAATTTAAGATATTGATATGATATTTTTTTAGGACGACAATACAAGGTCATGTTGGATTTGGCCAAGCCACCTAGGGCTGAGTCCTGGGTTCAAGGTTTTATGAAACATGAAAGTGTCGTTACATAGTGACAACGGTGTTATCAGAAACCTAGATTTAACTCCTAAGTAAGACGACCATTATAGTATTATTACAACAATATAACACACATAGCGTTATTCGCATAATATTATTTTATTAATGAATGCATTTCTCGACGCCATAGTGGTTATGAGCGTATGGAGCACGGGACGAGCCGGAGCTTTGTGGTCACCCATCCGGACGACATAGGACAAGTGAAACGAGTAGAGTTTTACTGGGAGTATAACATGGACGTGCTACAACCCAGGTCCATATGTTTCTTCTGGTGCAACGACCATCTGTACGTGTCTAGTATCGGTGTCACAGAAGCCGAAGACGACGGAAACAGAGGGTATGCCCGTCATATTTTGATAATATTCATGATATTAACTTATAACTTATAAGTACATTTTTGTGTTTATAACGACATGTCCGACATCACTGTCAATCAAGTTGGCAGGTAACAATAATTCCATGAAAACAATTTTTTTTTTTTAAATTTAATTTTAAAGATATTTACACTAAAATTAAATCAACACGGAGATTTGCACTGGTGTCCGCACAAATAGTTATTAATAAAATATTATACTATAATTTATAATCTTTTATTGTGTGGGTATAGATAATAATATGTACCGTCTACTACTGAATTAATAAATACGATTTAATGCATTTTAAACAATACAATCCCATACTAAATAAAATATTATTTCAATTACTTTAAATAATATACTATAGTTTTTGTGTAAGTAACAGTCTTTAATTGATAGGTGTTAATATTTATTTTAACTCCAATAGGTACTAAGACTATATTTTGAACAATGTACTTATACGTGTCGCGATCTATTGAATAAACCTGCAAGTAACACTCGTTCGAGATTATAATAATTAGAGCTACGAACTTCATGCCCTAAAAAACCTTAAAATATGCATTATGCATGCATGTATGACCTAGAGAATCAATAAATATATATGCATTTAAAAAAAAAAATCGTAGTTTAGGATAACACCTTTTTATTTTAATATCTAGATAATATTTGCAAAATTATAAATTACAATTTATAATAATTTAAATAACTTGCGTTTTAACAAATAATATTAATTTTCTTTTCTGATTTGTTTTCTTCTTATCTTTAAGCGTTTGGTGTACCGATAAGTAACAATGCGAGTGATCGGGCATACAAACACTAATTAATATAAGTATATAACCCTAAGTTACTAACACTAATGATAATATATATAAATAAAACCAGCATACTATAATATCTCGGATCCAAGAAATCTATTTAAAATGTAATTTTTTTGTAAAATTATAAAAATTACAAATATGCACTTATAAATGAAACATGGTCAAATATGCAAAATATGCAACAAAAATGTAAAGTATAAACTCGTATTTCTGTGAAACAAACTTCTATATTACTTAGCTTTGTTTTTAATGATTATTAAAAAACATCCCAACTCCTAGAAGTCCACAGCCTTAATAATAATTTTCTCAACAAATAAACGGTCATTGAGATTAAATTTTTTTCTAGATAAAGCTAATCGTTGAAAAATTATCTAGGTGTTTCATGTTTACAAGTAATTAAAATTTTGTGTGCAGTTTAAGTGCACAAATAAAATATAAAATTAATAATATATTTAGATTTTAGTTGTGTAACCACAACCTTTATATACAGTAATCATTTACAAAAAAATAGATTTCACAACCACAGTCAGGCATGATTTAGAGTACAAGCTATAATATTTAAATACTAAAATTTAAAACATTACGAATAGGGAATTACATAAAAAATTACAATAAATAACAATAAATGTAATAAATGTATTGTAATAAATTACAATTCAAGTTTTTATTATATTATAATAAAAACTTGAATTAAGTACAAATATTTTGGTTATGAATGATAAAATATATCAGTATTTAGTGGTACCTACTTACCTTTACTTAATGTAAAACAATTAAAGCTCTTACATACCTATGTCATATAATATTAAAATATGCACCTAAAATAATAATGGAATCCATGACTGCTATTCAATTATTTATAATTGTATAATTATTGTTTTATCTTTAGTAAACGAGGTATCCAAGTGGATACTAAGTTGTGCAGCCTGGGTCCAAGAGAGTATGCTGATATTGCCTCTAGGACTTCAGCTGTGTTCATCGACAAATGTGAAGACCAAGAGCTTCTAAACTAATGAAATAGTTTATGCACACAGCTCAAGTATTATAATATTATTATGATTGGTTAATATTAATGTACATAAGTTATATACATGTATAATGCATTTTAGTGTGCACTTTTGAAAATATTATGTACATAAATGTGTGATAGATATCCCCTTACCTACCTTCAAAATGTTATACATTTTATATCAAAAATATACTGTTATAAGATATTTTGTAATATAATAAAATATAATGTTTTTATATATTTAGATATTGTGTTGTTATTTTTTTAAGTCTATTTAATAGGTAGGTACCTCATCGTTGTAAACATTCACTGTGCAAGAGCGACGTTAGGTGTTGTGAAATATTTCTTCGTATGCATTTAATGTTTAATTATTCAAAATAAAATTAACTAATTTTATCTTTACTTAAAATATCATAACATAATTTGCAATTTTCTTAAATAATTAAAATACAGGTATAGGTATCATAATATATTTCGAAAAGTACAATTTTGTGTATTAATAAATAGCTAACAAGAAATATGATATAGGTAAATAATGATAAATTAAATAATTGATTTTCTCGTACAAACTATATAAAGTGTTATTATTATTATACTCTTAATGAGTATAGGTATAGTGAGAAATTATGTAACACTACTAAAACCAGTCATTAAATTGTGTGTTGATTTATAGAGATGTTGGTTTTCAGTTTTTTATTTCCTGTTTAATAGCTTCCGTCTATAGCAGGAGTTATTCAATTTAATATTATCAAGTACCTATACCTGTAGTGAAAATGTTCAACGTTTCAAGATTGCCATAATAAAAATGGTCAAAATAGTTATGACAAAAATTAATAAAATCATCCTCTACTACTAGCATTACTACTACTTATTTATTAGCGTTTTATACTTTTATTACCTATATAAGATTTTGAGTGTTGCAAGAGAGATTTTGATTTAAAAAAAGTTGTTTTTATTAATTTTACAGAGGCGATTTTGAATAAAGTACCTATCTATTTTTTCAGCTGTGATATCGATGAATACAATTAACATGTTATTTTTAATTTATATTTATTCATCGTTACACTTACGACATTCGGTATATTAAAAATCACCTCTATTCAAACCTAATAATCTTGTTGATCAATATTATGGTAATCCGTTTTCAGACCTAAAATCCATCAGACCAAATCCATTCAGTTTTGTCTAGCGTTTTGGTCTAAGAGCCACTTTCTTCATACAGCCCCAATAAGTAATCACTCGTTGATTAATTTAATTGAATTTAAATTGTTGACGATTTACCGGGCAATCAAAGGGCGTCGCCAAATGAGTGTTGAGGAAAAAACTAGAAATAGTAGTTGAAAGGGAAAATCTCGGAGCCCAAGACCATAGTCAAGCATACTTAACAAGGCCCCTCAGAATTTTTTTCTCTTGGGGAACCAGTGAAAAAATAATACACTTAGGGGAGACCAGGGTAAGTTGATGAGCTGGGTAAGTTGACGAATTGATAATAACTGATAGTAGATTATATCAACATCAGATATTTTACAAGAAATGTAAGGAATGATGTTTGGAACAACCACGGACTAAGAATTAAGATATAATGGACTGGAAACGAGCAGCTTGTAATAAATAATCCTGATAAAGCCCATGTGTTTTATTTACAATTTTCTGTTATCACCATACACACTTTAATTTTCTTTAATATTGAAATTTTTTAAAAAAAGGTAAATGAAATCTATTATATATTATTTAAAATCAACAAAGTATAGTATAAGCTTTATTTTCATGTATACTTAATGTCTATTAATCAAGTTAAAAGAACAAAAATATTATCTATCGGGTCAAGTTGACGAAGCACCCCCAAAATTGCACCTAAGGTCATGGATACAATGCCAAGAAATTATGTAATATATAATATTTAGACTTAAAATAAAACACGAGATAAATAATGAAAACGGACCATATTAATCAAATATACAATCAAATACCAACGGTGCCAGTAAACACCGTATATCATAAAATCATGAACACACTCTTTTATATACCTATACGTACATCACACGTGTACGTACACACATATATATATTATATACTTCAAGAACCCTTCGATAATTCTCCAATCAAGACGTTCGGTCAAAACAAAACTAAAAATTACCAGCTGTACCGTTGTCGCATCACACGAAATAATAAAAATATATCAATACTTTAATCCATGCACACGAAGAAGGGATCAAGCAAAATCATAGTTTATAAGGGCCACAGACAATCGACTCATACACAGTATCTTTCAGGAGAAGACTCATGCACAACGTCCACGCCAGTCAACATCACGATCTTTTTCCACTACTGTCCAAGCCATCACTGTGCGTTTATGCGTATACAATATATGTATATTGAATCATTCCTTCACCCGGTATGTCTGTCTAAATTAGTTGTCTCTTTCACAGTTAAATTGAAATTGTTCATCTTTTTACACTCACCTATCCATTGGTCTTTCAAAACGTAAGGTTCTGTGACTATTATCATATTATAGGCCTGTTGCATCACTACTGCACATTTATGTCTTAGAACACGAGTATAGAAGTAAGTGCTCTCTTAACTTAAATTACATTCGGTCGGCGATTGGACTATACGTACTATTTGTCACGAATGTAGGGATTCTAAGAGCTTTATTAGAATATAAGTATAGAAGTAAGTGCTCAATTAACTTAAATACATTCGGTCGGCGGTTGGACTATACGTACTAGCTGTCACGAATGTAGGAATTCTAAGAGCTGTGTTCAAGATATAAATGTGTAATAACAAATATTCATCACATTAAATTACAT